TTCTTGTCATTTTATTTCGTTAGTATTAAATTCCTGGCAACGAAATAAAATGACAAAGATACAAAAATGTATCAAATAAATCTGCTCACCTGCAATTTATAATGGCGCATTGTAGTCACCTTCGTGCACGAAAGTTCGTTCAATTTCAGCTGTTCGTCAGTTATTAGTTAGTCAGTTATGTCAGTTATTTGCTGTTGTATCGCCGATTTTCAATCGTTAGTATTAAATTCATGGTAATGAAATAAAATGACAAACGTGTATCAAATAAATCTGCTCACCTGCAATTTATAATGGCGCATTGTAGTCACCTTCGTGCACGAAAGTTCGTTCAATCTCAGCTGTTAGTTAGTCAGTTATGTCAGTTATTTGCTGTTGTATCGCCGATTTTCAAAATGCGAATGATCTGTTTATTTTCAAAGAATAGTTTGTTTTGTTATTGTTTGGTTGGTGTCTTATATGAAACTGCGACACTGCGCAATTTATTGGACAGACTTGTTGAAGATCACGCAACGTAATTTTGGGTGGCATTTTATTTCGTATTTTTAAACCATCTTTTTATTTTCTGTAAATTTAGTTTCCTGCTCTTAATTGTGAATGCATACTTGATGGTTTTAAATGCTCCTGAAATTAAGTGCTGCTTGACGAGCCTATATTGTGTATGTATGTGACGTCACTGAAGGCCTAAGGTTGAAATGCACGGCCCGCCACTGGCTTCAGTGTTAAACAAATTAATAAAGTGTATGTTTTAAAAATAAAACAACACGGCGGCTCTCTTTAAGCATCTGAAGTAGTTTCATTCGTGATGAAAAGCGTTACTCATGTCACTCTCCAATTCATCTCTACTGCATCCTCCTCGGCTGACACTGCCAGCTGAACTATTCCAACTGGCCAGATCGGCTGGCTTTTGCCGTTGTCGGTTATGCACGTTCGGTGTCACATTGAGAAACAATTAAATCTTTTGGTAGGTTTAAAAAATAAACGTTCCCTCTTGCCGTCTCCTGTTTTACACTCTATTAGAATAACCCGGTTAACTTTCTTCACAAAGTTCTGACAAGTTTGTTATCCTGAACCAAGTCTGCACATGCGCAGTGAGAAGATGGAGCAGTCCATTGAATTATAAGGGAAAGGTAATACGTGAAACAGTCATGATCGCTTAAACATGTGTTTTTAACCGGGTGATTTGCAACTAAAGCAATAATAATTGCCTTAACTATTTGGGGCCCACGTGAAATTGCCTGTGTTTGGCTAATGGTCAGTCTGCCCCCCGACTGTGTTTTCTGTTTCCACAGATGACCTCTTTTGCCATTTAGACAAAAATGTCAGACAATATTCACAAATGTGCACTTTCAGACCTGTTTCCAAATTTGGGCACTTTTATGTTTCCAAACAAAATGTTTTTAAAACTTTTCATTGATAAACAGCATTGTGGTAATGGAAGCACAGCAAACAGCACATATTAAAACATTTCCTGCACACAATAAATACAGCACACGATGATATGACAGTGATATTTTGACACGCTGTCAATTTGCACAAGGAGTGAGACAAATTGGCCACACACAAACTGAAGCAGCAGGGGAGTATATTTAAGTACGGAAAAGACACGACATGGATCGGAAACGAGACAACATGAAAATAATGTCTGGACTGTCGCCACGCATGCTCGCCTATATGTGAAATCACCATAGTCAGACATGAAATTGAAGGAAATTGAACAGGTCTGGGTAAGCATAATAACATTTTTACATTTTTTTCTTCATGCTGTGACCGGATGACATGGTGTTGAGAAGACCATGAACATTAACAAATATTCAGCACAACAGGTGCAAAATGAGCTAGTCCAGGACAGGTTCATGCACGGTGATACCGGTTGGAATAGTACACGCTGGCTTTCTTATCTCTGGTGACACTAATCTCCTGTCTGCGAATGAGAGTCTGATTAAATCCCATCATATCAGCCAGCCAGATCTGATTACAAATATCTCCATCTGGAACTGCTGCTGAACATTCTGCGGAGCAAGTTTTGGGCATGCAGTTGACTTTTTCGGTTGACCTTTGAATTGTACCATACTGTGCAGATCTAAGTCGGTCAGGCGCCTGCCGTAAAACAGCATTGATTTGGAATGTTGTGGACAAAAAAAAAGGTTCTGATGAAAATTGAAGTTTTCAGCAGCAGACTGCAAATGTATGACAACAAATGGGCCAATTGTTTTACATTTTTTGATGGCAGAAAGCCGAAATTCAGTTTTTAAGAA